CGCATCTGTTTTATATTCGCATTAGAAAGTCTACGTCATTTCCTTGGCTTTGACGTCGGTGGGACAGGTGAAAAATAACCTTATGTCAGCGAAAACTTCCTGTAAAATACAAAAGACGCAAAACTACTTTTCACGCTAACTTTTCCATAGAAGCTTTTAAATAAAATCATACTGGCTTAGTCATGTACAAGCATGTGTGTAAATTTTGAGCGTATCATAAATTTCGTTAGATTTTTGAGAAAGTAGCCACAAAATTTTTTTGGTCTTAGTTTTGCTTGCATTTATGACTTCATTAACATGACCATTTTGCTTTCTAGAATATGACCATTTTGAAAGATTTTCACCTTTTTATTTATTTATTTTGTTTTTAGTTGATTTACTTATTTCGTTTCGTAAAAAAATTAGATTTTAACATTGGAAATAAGGCTCCTTACATTACTATGCATAAAATTTCAACTGAAAAAACTTGATTTTGCTTCTAATAGTTGAATAGCTTATATTTTTGGCTTTTGATGTAGGCTAATTTCACAATAAAATTTTTCCCAGAATTTTTTGAAGTGTTTTTAAATATCTTTTAGCAATAATAGAGATTTTATTTTTATGTCAAAAGTTTTCTTTCTGTCTTATTTTCATGTATGAATTTCAGTTTAAAGATGTCTTCTTTCAAATAATTACATAGTTTAAGAAATGGCCATTTGCTATAGGCTATTTTATTTAGTATTATTTCATCAAAACATACTTCTCGATAATATTTTTGACGGGTTTTACTTGATGTTAGAAACTCAAATTTAAAAAACAAATATTACGTGTAGTCCTTTTAAATGTCACTAAAGTTCTTTTTTGTTAGAAAAGAAACTAAACTATGTTAATAATGTTTTGAGAAAAATGAGCTACTCTACCGTCTTCTCATCTTCATTTTACCTGTTACTCAAATAACTTATTTTACTTATTATTAACTTTTTAAAATTAGAATTGAAAAATTCAGTACCATGTTCATTCGTATTACTCATTCATATGTAGTGAATTACATTTAGTTCGTTTATACGTAAAAACAAAAAAGGTAAAAATTTTATCCATATGCGAACATTTATTGTTTATCTAATTTTATTTCGCAATGAGATTAAATTTTCTACTTTATTAACGATTTAGCTATTAATATAATTTTTTACAAATTTTGTGAATGATGCATCCGAAATACGATATTTTTAGTTAGTTGTCATTTTATTTGAACTTAAATAAAACTAATTACAAATTAATTCAGATGGGTCTAAAGAATTACGAAAACTGCAATTTATTCGCGAAAATCCTAACTAATCAAAAATACCGTTATTTGGAACTACTTGATCCATCAAGGTAAAATGTCCACTTTTGCTGGGTAAATTTCTAATAGTGGCTTCTAATCCCGCCACTACGTACCTTTGTGATGTCGATGCCCTTCTCCAAATTGTGCTCTCCAAATTTAATGGGCTTATAAGGCGTACCTTCTTACCTGCATATTTAGTACTTTTTATTTACGTCACACTAGAGCTGCACAATGGGCTATTGGCCTGAGGATGATCCGAAGACAACATACATACGTCACATCCCGTTTTACAAGGAGGATGCATTCACACACTATCCATCTGCAAATCATAAATTTTACCTGAACTAGACCACGAGCAATCTCTTATCCAGTACCCCCAGAGCTATTGATTTGTTATGGGAACTTGGAGGACTTGTGGCCCCGACAGATTAGCATTCAGATCTTCAACAAACGGGGATTGAACTCAGAACCTCTCGGACATGGGTCCAACCACCAAACCAGCCAATCTCTGTCAATCCAATCAAATCTCTCCCAATTATCTGTAACAATAAATAAATAAATGAGCTCTGTGGAAGTAGCACTTTCAAATTCCACTGCAATTTTGGATGCATCACTGTAATATCCTTCTCTAACTTATTCTCTCCGTTCTTATAAGTCGTACTTTGTTGTACTGTTTGGATTTTGTTAACTTTCATGCAAAAATAATATGTTTCTAGTTCGGATGAAATTTGAATATCATATTTTAATTCTGTGTGTGTTTCTAATTTGTTGGTTAAAGTCATGCCGTAAGATCCATGTTATAGTAAAGTTTAGATCACCAATTTCAATAATGTGTGTGTGTTTTTAGGTAAGTTTAAACATAATTTGAAAATTTTTTTGCAAGCTTATGCTTATGCTCTTTATGCTTATTTAACATTTTGTTAATGAATGTCCTATTCTAGATTTACAGGATTCAAAAATATTCAAATTATATGATTAAATTTGTAAGTTCATTATATTGTTGTATATAAAATACACAGCAGAAAACAAGTTTATTCTTTTTCTTAAAATATATATATTTTTTAAATTTTTCACGGTCAAAACGGTAAGCAAACATATGATTCGCAAAATCTCTGGTCTCAAGTTATGCGGATTTCAGAGAGTTTGCTTCATCACTTCAATTGTTGGCATTTTTAAAGATTTATGTATTATTGCGACTTGTTTTGCAGAGTTAAAACTCCCCTCCCCTTAAAAACGAAAGATTCGCTATTTCGATTTTTTTTTCAAAAAATAGTTCAAGTAGACATAGAGCGTTCACTATCTACCAATACGATTACCAGTAAATATCCAATAAATAAGATGATTTTTTTTAAGACTACGATAAAATTAAGCCATTTTAGCTTCTTTTTTTTCTCCTGCAAGTGAAAAGCTTGTTTCGTAATAACCACAAAATCGGAAAAAGAATATTAACTTTCTTATGAGCTTGCTATTTAAAAGAGTCTTGAAAAACGCATTTAAATTTCAAATCAAGAGACCGTTTGCTTTTGCCATCTTCTGAACTCAACTTGTTCTGGTGTGCTTACTTTTGGCGCCACTTGTACTTAAATATGTCTTCTTTCTTTTACCTCTTTTAAACAGATACGCAGATGATTTCTCCTTCATTTTTGTCTTTATTTTTCATTTGCACATTCTTTCGAATTTTTGCATAAAAATGAGCAAGGAAACTCCATGAAGTTAGTCATTGAGCCGTTATAGCTTTCTTCTTCTGCGTTTCTAAAGCGGATTTATTTGTTTGTTTATGTAAACGACGTTACTGTGAATGCGTTTATATGATTTCCGCTACTAAAGAAAGACGCGAAAGTACCATTTTCTGAAGCAATTCTAGAATTATTTTTCTGAAATCTCGTCTGCATTAAATTCGGTAGCTAACTAATTAGGTAGTTATACTGGGATATTTATTTATATTTCGTATTTTCTTAAATATAACTTCAAGTTTCATGAAGTGGGGAGCTGTACTTAAAAAGAAGATTCAAAATGTTAAAATTTACACTTTTATACAGACGAAGAAGTTTTTAGGGAAATAGTTTTGCAGTTTCGTAGATAGTTTCCTATTACTCGTTAACGTTATGTCGCTTTAAAATTTAAAGGGGGATGAGACTACATTTTTTAAAAACATTTCTCTAAAGTTTCTATGCATGTGCGCAAAATAAATACTTCAAAAACTTATCATCATTAGCAATACAATTTCAAATAAACATTTATTTGTAAATTTTTCTTTCTTAAAAACCATTCGACCGTTTTCGTTCAAATAGGGACTTTTTGTAAAAGTTCGTAAACCTTACAAATCAAATTTTTCTCTCATTATTAAAATTAAAAAGAAAATTTAAATATTTTTTTAAGGAATTTTTTATTAAACTATCTATAGGCAAATGAGTTTGATATTGGTGGACAAAGTTTTAGACTTGTGTCCAAACATTTTGTATTTTCATAGTAATTTTTTAAATGACTCCTATAATTTGGCTCACTAAATTATGCAAAAATCATGCTGAATGCTGAATTTTTTCATGCTGAAGCATGGCAAAAGTTTAAGCTGCTAAACATGTCTCGAGAAGTTATTAGGCGAATTAAAAAAAATTTTTTCTCTCTATATTAAAAATCGTTGTTCCAAGATAAATTTCTTCGTGTAAGTATTTTTTTTAAAAAAAATATTCTATTAAATGTATTAATTTTTGAAAAAATATCGCAATTAAAAGTATACACATTATGGCAACATTAGCATCATGGCAATTATAAGTCATAGTATGGATGAAATTCCTTGTATAGTGCCAGTAAAGAGAAATTTAAAAATACGATTCTTTTAAATGTTATTGCACAGTAACTATTCGACCAATTTGCTCAAAATTGATTTTGTAATTTATAATATAGTTTAAAATGATGTAGGTATTAGGTGAAGGATGTTGTGGAGAACTCATATATAGGCAGGCTAGCTGGTCACTGCATTTGGCTAGGTACCTTAAGAAGGAAGGACAGTTCCATTTATTTTTTTTTCTAAATTTTATTTCAACAACTCCTCATGCTCCACAATGTATAACATGAGGTTTACAGAAGTAAGTGGGCAAAGTGCAAAAGAAAAGAAAGAAAAACGAAGAAACATAACAAGAATTAAAAGTTTAAACTGTACACAAAATAGTAAGATATTCAGTGCACATAACTAAAGAAGATAAAACAGATGGCCAGTAAATTCCAGAAAGTCTCAAATCCTTTTTTAAACTCTCTCTTTGGCTTGAGTAAAGCTTACAATAAAAAATAATATGTTCAACAGTTTCAAAGTCCTGTTCACATAAGCAAAGATTATCAATAACCAAATTAAATTTAAACAAGTAACTTTTAAAATTACCGTGACCAGTAAGAACCTGGGATGGCTTAAAGTCAGTAGAAAAATTTTTGCACATCACATAGCAAGGCCGTAGCTAGGATATTTTTTCGGAGGGGGGGGGGTATGGTAAGAAGCAAGGACAGTTTCAGACATGCAAAGTAGGGAAAAACATTGTAACAAATATTGTTTATTTCGTTGTTTGCAAAAGTTAAACTAGTAATTAATAAATATTACATAATAATTATTTTTCAATTAATATTACATAATAATTGCAATCAATTTGTAAACAAAGTTTACAAAGACATGCGACAGGGATTTGAAGAAAATTTTTTGATTACTTTTTTAGGACAAACCGGAAGATCCCGAAATATGCTTGATAAAGTCAGCCTTGTTAGCCTTTCTGCTTAATAAAGTTAGCCCTGTTAGCCTTTCTTCTTTAGTAGCATTTCCTATTGCTGTTTGTACTCGTTTAAGAGTAGACAAAGTTCTTTCTGCAGTTGCTGTGGTGATTGGCAACGTAGCCAATATTGATAACAAGCAATAAATGTTTGGGAAAAAAATATTGTCACATTCTTCCATTGTTGAAAGTGCCGTATCTGGTCTACTAAGGGGTTCACGCAGGTTCCACTTTGATGCCCATACTTCCATTTCTCCCATGAGGTTTTCGATGTCAATGAAATCTTCGTAGATTCGGAAATTGCATAAATTATTATAAACGTTCACACAATACTTAGGTAACACTTTATTGAGATATGCAAGAGTATCTTTGTGCTTCGAAAATCTTTCAATCAGTTGGGCAGCGAAATAATCTAAAAAAAGAATGTATATATTTTGACGGAAGTATTGCTCTGGAGCTGTGTTCTGATTTTTTATATTGCCAGGGTGATTTTGATAGGATGCCAATCTAGGAAGTTTTACATCTAGATCCAAACATGTGAAAGTATTAAGGAGTTCCGAATATAGCTTTTGAAATTCAAACTCGGCATTTTTTCTTTTGTTTAGAACTGTGTTGTTTATTGATTTTACATGTATCAAAGCCCCATTCAAATCTAGATGAATTTGTTGGAGTGCTTTGCTCTGTGGGAGAGTCACAGAAAAAATATCGCTACAAACAAGTAAAGTAATGTAAAACTCACTTTTAGTGATAGAAGAAATAGGATTGTCCGCTTTAGAGGAAGCATCGCAGTTTCCAGAAGCCTTTATTTCTTCGAGAAGTTGAACTATTTCTGGATAAAGCTCTTTAAATCTAATGATTGCATCATGGTTTTCCATTCATCATGTTTCGCAAAAAGATCTTATTTTTTTGAATTTTTCAAAACTCGTTTTGATGATGTCTTCTAAAATTTTTGTTCTTTTGGCAGACGATTTGATGAATTTTGTTATTGTTTTAACTGTGCCAACACAGTTTCTAATATCTTGAATACTACAAGAGTGACTAATTGCTGCAGAGAGTGTGAGGAGCAATGCACATATATAGCTGTTGGGTGTAATTCTTTGACGGCTGCTTGAACACCGTTAAAGTCCTCTCGCATTGCAGATATGCTCCGTCGAAGCCTTGTCCGACAATTTTTGAAACATTTTTTTTCATTTCCAATGCAGCAGGCGATGCGGACATTATCCTAACGCCGTACAGAGATCAAAATAAAGCAAAAATACAAATACAGAAAGAGATGAAATATACAAATGCAAAAACAAAAGCAAAACATCAAACACAAAAATTAATTCAAGAACTTAAATTGAACAAAAGTTCTCTGGCCTCCCAGTATCGGGAGTAGATGCAGTTCTTTGTGAGTACTGAACAGTTGAGAAGATGTCCAGCATTCATCGTCGTACCACTGCGCAGAGGGGGCAGGCAGGATTATCCACTATTTTAAGACGGAAAAGATGGTCGTATAAGCAATCATGCTTGGTAGCAAGACGAAAGGCAGCTACATCAGCACTGCTTCTTGGGCAATCGGGGAGATTAAAGATGTCATTTCCCCACGATTTTTCTTTTGATCGTTCTTTTAGCAATGATATATGTGTTGTCTTAATTGCATGATTAATCATTAATGAAGTGGACCAAGTTATTTGGGGCTTGATTAATAAAGCAACCTTTTTTGGCCAGTGCATCAGCTTTTTCGTTGCCAGAGATACCACAGTGGGATGGGATCCATTGTAAGGCAATCGTTTTACGTTTTTCACCTATCTCTGTCATTAAAGATCTACATTTCACAATGGACAAAGAGCTAGGGGCTTGAGAGTAGTTGGAAATGGCCAGAATCTCAGCTTGGGAATCCGAGAAGATGACAGCTTGATAGAAAAGAGAAGGACGAGCATTTAAATGAGTTAAAGCTACTTTGATTGCCTCAACCTCACCATCAAAAGCGGTCTTGGCTGTTCCCAATGAAAGATAGCGGGAGAAATGCTCACATAAAATACCAGCACCGGCAACGCCATCCATCTCAAGCTTTGAGCCATCTGTGTATACGTGCAACCATGCTTCAAGAGGAAAACGATTGTGGATAGTCTCCATCCCCGCGCTGAACAAAGCTGCTGCACAATCCTGGGCTTTTAAGACATGATTCACAAGGTCCAGGTGATATAATATTTTGCTAGCTTCCATAGGATTTAAGGGGGGAAGCAAAGCAAAGGTTCAATCCGGGAAGGTATATCAAATTCATCCATCACTTTTAATACAGATTGAAAGTAGCCGTCCTGAGTCTTCAGACTACGAGGTTCAGATTTGGTCAACATATCGCTATGAGGAAGGCGAATTAGTTTCTGATAAAGCTTCAAAGCTGATTTCTTTATTTCATATTGCATAGGGAATTCATTGGTTTATAATAGAAGTGCGTCAATAGGTGTGGTCTTGACAGCACCGGTGACAAGACGAAGTGCATTCTTTTGCAGTCGTTCCAGTCTATTTATACCTCCCTCAGATACTGTAATAAGAGGAGCGTTACAGTAAGTCATGACAGGTTTTATAAAAGTCTTATAGGTATCAAGTAGAGTTGTGGTAGCACAGCCCCACCTAACTCCTGCGAGGCGTTTAAGAAGTATCAATGGCAATCAAGGGAGGCAAAGTTACTCGCGTCCGTAGCATCCCTGAAGCTGCACGTGCCTCCGGGGTGGTGCTAAATGAGTAACAACTCTGCAGCCGAGATCTCTTTGATCTTCTGATTTTTGAAACATTAACTCCTAAATTTCTTAATGATTTTAAAATAACACCAGCTATTCCGCGTCCAGATGAGTCGAAAATTGGAACGAATTGGAGAAAGTTTTCTCTGACAATTGGCACATCACCTCTCACATCGATGTATCTTGCACAAAGTGTCAACTGCTCAGTTTGAGTTATGTCCATTGTTTCGTCTGCAAGAATAGCAAAAAAGCTTGCTTTATTAATTCTATCAACAATTGTCGCTTGGATAATGCTACCACAAATCTCAATTAATTAATTTTGAATGGATGGACTGATGTACATTGCATTACCACCACATTGGTTAATATGCTTTTTCAAAGTTTTTGCTGAGAGGCTCAAAGAAAGACTAAAAAGTTTGAATCCAAGAATTTCGGGGGGGGGGATTTGTCCCGACGGTCCCCCCCTGGCTACGGGTCTGTCACATAGCTATTGGGATCACATTTCCCAGATTTGAGACTATCTCCCATATTTTGAGGATCATCTAAAAAGATTTATTCAGACAAAGTATTTTTTTGTATCCTATTTTGTTACTTAAAATATCATCTACCCCAATATCTTAGCTTATTTATGGCCTATCTATAGCTCCAATATGCTACATGTTAGTTCATGAAAATCCGATTGTAAGATCAAAGCGACTAGTTAAGTATTTTTACTTTTTATTATTTTGAACATTGTGCCTTTCCGCGGTTTGCAAAACAAAATGAAAGCAGCTGGATATAATTAAAATTTGCAGACTCATTTTTAAAATTTTTTTAACCAACAATGAAATTTATATATTTTTTCCAACTATGGAAATATGGGGGATCACATTCATTGATTTATTTATAATCTTATTGAATCAAACATAGTTTTATGCAACAAAAATGTAATATATTCAAATGAAAATATATTTATATTAAAATGAGTGTCCTCTTTGAATTATCCACCGGCTATTTACGTAATTAAAGCTTATAAAATCAAACCATACATTTTTAGAAAACTATAGATGTCTGAGAAAATCTGAAAGGTTCCTTTTTTATAGTCAAATTTGAATATTATAAACTCATCTTTTATATAATTTGCAATTATTAATTTCATCTATCAACTATATAAAAAGTTATCACTATAATATTAGTCAATATGAGATCTCACATACTGTTCTAACGTTTTAGCATTTTCTTCTTCTGAATAACTGATCTGTAACAATGTAACTGGTCTAAAAGAATACAACTAGTCTAAAATGAAAAAAAAATATCCATGCTATTACTTGTAGGAAATATTTTTCTTTAAAGGTGGATAAAATTCGATTTATTTTGAAAGAGGAAATTGAAACAAACATTAAAACACTTTTAGTTGGAAAAAATGGTGTACTATAGAACTCTTCTTCTATCAGCACTGCAGCTGGTTACCGGCCTTAGCTGTCTAAAGCATCTTATTCTTTCTCGATCTGTCAGATGCCAGTACTCTTCATTTATTCATCTCTATTCACTACCACAGCTAAGCCACTTTTCCCTATCATCTAACCATAAATTACAACGCCTGCTTTTCCTTTTTGCTCTCAGGCTTGAGAACAGTTACTTTTTTTGACTAGGTTATTATCGCCATATCTAGATAGGACATAACCATCTCACCAGCTGTATGAGATCATTAGCAAATAGCTTATTTTACTTATTAGCAAATAGTGATGTATATGAGTTTATATTCGTAGCCACAGTGATTATCAGAGTCTAATTTTTGAGTCCTTGTGACATTCTCCAGATGAAGACTTGTACCTAGAAATTGAATTCCTCAACCAACAATGACCCCCACCGGGCTACAGTCCTTGTGATATTTTTTATTTTATTTTATCCATCGTTGACCAGCCGACCCATACTACTACTTATGCTCAACTCACTCCGTAGTCTTGTAATTTTGAACCAATTCAGAAGACAAGGAAACTGAATGATCAGTACCCCCAGGGGTACTGATTTTTTATGGGAACATGGAGGAATTTGAGTCTCGACAGATTCAACGTGCATCAGTCACCATTTACTACACGGGGAGTCTTCGGCCAGCTGCGATCGAACCCACGAGCTCTTGGACATGAGCCCAGTGCCCTCCCAACCAGGCTATCCCAGCCTAGTTCCTGTGATAGCAAGAAAGTGTAATTTTTCTATCAAAAGAGCTCCCTAGCCACAAAGCTGCTATGGCCGTTTGCTGCTATAGACTTGAGAAATGGCACATTTCAAAGAAGGAAGTTTCTCTCTCTATTTCTCCGTCTCTCTGGATTTCCTTTCTCTCACCGACTCCAGCCAGAACCTGTCCTAAATACTGACCCAACATTGAAATATTTAAGTAACCATAGTCACTGCTCCAGATGAATTGCGCGGAGTTCTTATATGATGAGTTCTTTATATAAAGACTATAGAGAAGAGTAGAAAAACACCGGGTAGTGGATTCTACTGCTTTCTAGCGGACAGACTCTGAATAAAAAAATTTTCAAAGCGTTTTTTTTTTCGTATCCGAGTCCCGAGAAATTTTTTTCTTAATTTATTCAAAAATGCACAAATTTTGATTTTTTAGTCGTAACACATAGTTAAATAGTTTTTTTGTATAGATTTCACGGTTTCCGCAAAGATAATAAGACTCCTGAATTATTTATTGTATTGTGTAAAATTATCTTAATAGTTATGTGAATGGGGCTATTTCTTGCTATTCAAAACTATAGCTAATAAGTATAAAATCTCATATGTAATATGCAGTTTTCATAAGCAGTTGTGAAAATGCATAAACATAAGAAGATAATCGAATGCGGTATAAACTCTCATACGACACAAATAATATCTATAAAAATTTAAGTTAAAATATGATCAATTTGTTTTCACAAGCAAATATACAATTTTTATAAGCAATAAAGAATTTGCATAAAAAGGAGATTATCGAATTCGGTAAATGCTCTTAAACAAAGATAATATAAAGATAATAAAATGAATAAACTTAATAGTCATTTGCTTGTCTCTTTTAAAAGTGCATCAAACTAGTTTACAGTATTGTATATCAGCGCAGGATGTATTTGTAAATTTAAAAAAAAGATAATAGACAAAATTATTGAAACGACAAATTGTTACTTATGATGAATTGATATTTAAAAACACGTAACGGTCCGATACAGACTAGTTTCAGTAAGTGAATAAACAAGTATGACAGGGAGAAAGTCATTTTAAAGACAAGGCGCCACTAAGTCGGCTTTACAATGTACTTGGAGTGAAAACTTAAGTGGCTTCGCATAGTTCCGAATTAAGTGAATATATCAGATTGATTAAAACATCGTATTGCTTATAAAACGAAAGAGCTGTAAAGCTTATGTCATGTTATTTAACACATGTTTTGTTGTTGTTTTTTTTAAAAATGTTTTACCTAAATGGAAATTAATTTATTTAAGCGTGTATAAAAAAAATTGCTAGATTTTAACATATTCTTTAACATATTATACCATTAAACTAGTTTACTTAAGCACTAGAGCTTAACTACATGTAAGAAAAGAAATAAAACTAAACGTAGTGTTACAATCAGCAAGAGCAGAGTATTTTCTATGTGATATCCGATAACATGACATGCATCTACGGAATCTATAACATCTACGGAATTAATAGATTTTTGAAATAAATGAATGCTGTATAATTAAATAACACTAGACTAAAATAACTCTAGCAGCAAAATAACTTGGACCTTCATTGGATGAATCTTGGCTCAATAGGGGTTCAAAGGGTCTTCATTTTTCCGGTATTGGTCCCATGTAGAACTGTCCGATTGACCCGATATTTTATATTAACTTTTCAGCCAATATAAGCTCTATATTGGCCCCATAAAGGCCAATATTGGCCCTATATCGGACCAATATTAAAAAACCTGGACATCTAAATATTGATCCTCTGGTGTATGTTCACATAGGACAAATATTAAGCCGATTTTGAGCCAAACTGGAGTGTGTTAAGATAAAATTGTTGCTAGGGAAGAACAATGAATCGCCATTATTACCAAAATGTCACCCTTCATCTCTTCATGAGTTATTTAAAATCCTCTTTGATTCGACATCCCTTTGTTCTTTAGGATCCATTTAGCTGTCGTCAAGGTATTCCAGTTGCTCACTCTCGGTGGTTTTCTTTAGTGTTGTCAACCCACCTTAGTCTGAACCTACCTCTGGTTCATGTTCCAAGAGGTTTAAATATTCTAGATGTTGAGGTTACAAATTGATTATCTCAAATTTGTAGATGGCTTCAACTATCTTGACTGCAGCGTGAACAGTCACAAAACGACGCATTGTTTCTACAAACAAAATGAGTAAAAAAGAAAAGAAAAAAGGTGCCATTAGACCTGTTCTCATATATGGTTCAGAATCTGAGCTATGATAAAAATCGCTAAGAGAAAAGTTTTAATAAGAATTGCAGAGAATAAGATTGGTGCAT